GCAGCCCGGCTTGGGGGGGGGGGCACGCCCCTCCCGGAGCCTGGCACGGCGGCCTGTGCAGGGCCGGGCTCCAGTCCTGAGGGCCAGCCCCGCTGCCTCTGACTCCTGACTCGCGGTGTTCTGTCTCAGGCCGGGGCGCACCTGTTGGAGCCCGAGCTCTCTCACACGGACCGCGTAGGCGTGCGCATTCGGGACCAGCGTGCGGACGTGGCACCTTGCTGTCTGCGAGAGGGGAGCAGCTTGGACTCATGGGCAGGGTCACCCGCCCTCCCCGACGCACCTCCGAGTGCTTCTCCGGCTGGGACAGCCCCCCAGACAGGGCGCACTTCCCGGGGAGACAGAGCCCATGCTGGCACTGCGGAGTTTGCACTGGGAAGAACAGGCTTGCACAGAGGAAGCAGGTGAAGGTGACGATAACGCACCAAGCCCTCCGCCCATGGCAGGGCTTCGGATCATTGGAAACGCTGATGGACACTGGGCGGGACAGCCGTGAGTGCCCCACCTCTGTCTCCGGGGCCTCTCCTCGGGTCTGCCCTGGTTTGTCTGCATTTCACCGATGGGGCAGGGCCAGTGGGCCTCCCACCAGCCAGCCCCAAGGCCAGGGGCTGGGGTCGGTGACATCAAGGGAAGATGTGGGTACAGATGGTTAGCACCCCTCAATGATTCTTGATGCTTTGCCCCATCTCCAGGCCGCCCTCACGGTTTTGTTTGGACCACTTGAGGAGTTCTGGCTTCTCGACCTTGAGTGGAAGTGATGGGTGTCGAGTCCAAGCAGAGATAGTTAAGAGCTAGGGAGCCATCCCCGCCCCCATTTCTCCTCGCACAGTGACTCTGATGGCCACGTGTTGAACTCGAAGTTGACCTTGATGACCACGTGTTAAACTTGAAGTTGGCCTTCCTGCAACATGAAAGGAGCCAGGAAGCCTGAGTCACCCGTGAAGGGTCCATGCAGGAGAACTGCTAAACCCGTCAGACTCTGAGACAGCAGGACACTGGGATGTGGGGCTCATCATGACTGCAGCCGTAGCCTCTCCCATCCTGACTGATGGACTTGGAGCCGGTCCTGAGTCCCCCTGATCCCTGTGAATGGCATGCACAGCCTCAAGCAAGCAACTTACAGGTCTCAGGTCTCCCATGAGGGTGGGACACCCTCTCGTTGATGGGATTGTCACGAGAATTAGATGAGAAAATGCTCGATAAATGCCTGGCACGGAGAGGACTCAGAAAGTGGTGCCTGTCCACTTCGCTTTGTGCATACTCATTTAATTCCCGTTTCACAGATCGCAAAGCGAAGGTTCCGGGAAGCCAGGTTTTCCCTGTAGGCTACAAAGCAAACGGGTCGTAGATCTTTTCCGCCGGTCCTCTCACTTGGGGTTCTTACCTTGCCAACTGGGCACAGACTTTTTCTCCTGACCCGGTTTGCTTGGCCAAGCGGCAGAGATCTTCGTCTCCTTATCTGGGTTGGGGGGGGATGTTGGACTTAATAATATCTAATGTCAAGTCATTTCAGATTCCGACCTTACACGTGTGTGTGTTCTCACACGGCTTTCAAACCCTTTCTGGGTCCCAGCCTGTGTTGAAAGAAGGGCGGGTCCGTTACGCCCTCTGCTGGCCACCACCGGTAGGAGGCCTGTCCGTACTCTGGGGCCAGGGTCAGAAGGCAAGATTTTGGCAGCTGTAGGTGTTCCCAGGGCTGGAGGTCTCTACCGCCGCTAATCCACCCCTGGGGTCTCGTCTCCAAAGGGTTTGCGTTTAAAGAAAATCTGACAGGCCACTGTCCCCATGCTGTCGGTGGGGAAAGAGGTTTACAATCTTTACTCAGCACTCCCGGACTCAGCACCTTGCTTCTCAAGTCCTGGCTACGCCCCTTCCTACCTGACAGTTATTTCATCTCCTGGAAGCTGTTTCCTCATTAGATTCTCCTCTAGCAGGAATAACGCCTCTCGCCAAAACTGTTGCAGGATTAGAGATTAAAGGAGGCAAAATACTCAGCTCAAATTGAAGGCGTGCGCAAGGGGGTCCAGTCATTATTAAACACATCCTGCTTTTCATGGTGTTGCCACTGGCTCCCCACAGCCTCCTGTATTCGTCTGTCACCTTCTAATGGCAGAGACCTTGGCTTGCCCATCTCCTGATCCCCAGCCCCCAGCGGCCCTCAGTACACATCTGTCCAGTGACATGTAAGTGTCCATATAGTACGCTAGTTTCCACTCAATCCTGGGAGGCAGATGATTAGGAATCATCGCTCCCACTTTTCAGAGAAGCTCCATGTCTGGACCCAGGTCCTCGACTCCGGGACCTGTGGGTACCCGACCTCCAGCCAAGCCCTCTTCTTGGGGGGCTCACAACAGGAAGGGATCTGCCAGCGATCCGTAAACCTACACCAGCGACAGCTCTGTTTGGGACAAAATTTCAGAAAAGCCAGTCCCCCTGCCGTAAAACACAGAGAGGAAGGAGCCCTCAGAATCCTCGGGTGCCACGGAGAGTCCAAACTGGACTTTGTGGCCCTGAAGTCACCCTCCGGGCATTCAACGTTCATAGCTATGGCTTATACGTAAGCACCCCTTCCGAACGGCTCCAGAAAGGATGTTCTCAATTGATTGATAGTAATCACGACCCTTTGCTTAAGGTCTTCTGTGTGCCAGGACCTGCGCCCGACATGTGGCATCACCAGAGGCTCGCGGGAGGCTCCTGGCCCTGCAAAGAGGCAGGCTCACTGCCCTGACCTGTGAGACGTACCTGGGGCAGGTACGCCTGTGGCTGCTCTGGCCCAGCTCCCAGCAGCAGTGTCCGGGGGGAGGACCGCATCTCTACGGGCCCTCACGGGCGTTCTTGGACTTCACGCCCCCACCCCAACCTCTCTTGGTTGTGCGTGCCGTTCCTACCAAGGGGGCCCGGTCCCTCTCTCCTGGCAGACTCTGCACATTGCGTAAGTGTTTCTAAGCCAGTCGCACCCTTACCCCGGTGACTTCAGCGTCCCCATGGAGCTCATGTAGGGCACCTGCCCTCCTGGACCCTGGGTGTCTCCTGACCCCCAAGTCTTTCCTCCACCTTTTCTCCATCACCTGGAATGACCGCATCCTGAAGGCCACTCATTCAAACACCGCGTTTCCACAGCCTCCCAGCTCACGACGAGATTCCCGTAGATGTCGCGCGTCCTGACTCAGGACCCGCTACCCGCCCTGCCCCCTCGTCCTGCGGCCTCTGTCCTTCCGGCCTCTGTCCTTCCCCCTGCAGCTCCCATCACCTTTCGCTCCCTCGTTTCAGCCAATCCCCTTCCAAGCTTTGTGTCACCTCACCCCCTGGCTCTTCTCTCCCTGCACCTGAATGATGGCTGAGTCAGGTGCCGCGCCCCACAGATGGGCCCCCTGAAAGCCATCGGCTCCCACCCTTAGCCAGGCCCTCGACGCCGGCCAGCCCGGGATTCCCTCTTCACGGTCGGCCTGCCCGTCACCCACTTGGAACCTTCCCTGGTGGTTCTGCGTCCTCCTGCCTCCCCTGCTCTTGACACGTGACCTCCCGTGACCCCAGAGAGAAGACGAAGCTACCAGACGGCACGTGTGGGAAACACACTGTCGCACCTAGAGAACGGGTAAATGGGGTTCATGCGCTCCTTCGGTCCTTGTGTGTGCTTAGAAGCCTGTGTTACAAAGTAAAAAGGAACTAAGAAACCCCCTTCTCGGGGACGCTGTGATCCCATCCACTCCTCGCTGATCAGCCACGCACGTGTTTGGAGCAGCCTGCTGGGTATTCCCGAGAGGACTTCCCCAAGCTTCCCACGACTGAATCCCAGAGGACCTGCGTTTGTGGGGGAGCGGGAGTGGTGGGCAGCGGTGGCGGGGCCCTGGCCTGGGACTAGGGTGGGATGGGCTCCCACAGGCCAAGCTCTCCCAATGGCACCCGCCTGCATGTGTCGCCACCTTGTGGCCACCTGCCCACATTGCAGCTGAGGTGTGCCGTCCACCAGGAATGAATCTGGGGTGGCTGGGTCTCTCTGATAGGGGGCAGGGGTGGGGGCAGGGCCCTGGTACAGGCGTAGCTCACTGAATCCTCAACACATGTTCATGCGGTAGGCGCATCATCCTAGCTTTATCCGTAGCAGATCGGGCACAGAGAGGTCAAGTCACCTGCTCACATGCACACAGCTGATGAGGACGAACCCAGGGCACCTGTGGGACTGTCTGCACTGTGCTGCCTCTGGGGGCTGCCTCCAGAAGGTCACCACAGACAAACGTCTCATACGAACTCAAGAGGCAGCAGAGCGACAGGGAGCCCTAGATCTCGAGAGGGAAGGCTGGGTTCAAACCCCACCTCGGCCCTCAGTTGGCTATAATTCTGCACCTGTGCTTATCTGGGAACCCAGCAACCGTCCCCCGCCCTTCACAGCTGTCATGAGAGTTCAAGTTCATGCCCAAGGAAGTGCTGGGCACACTGTAAGGTGCCACACAAATCGGGAGGCGTTATTATTTGCACCAACTTTACACAATAGAGTCCCCATACTGGGTTTGTGGACCTATTAAAAATAAACAAGATCTGAGAGATCTGTGCCAACTTTGGACCAGACTTGGGTCTGTCCAGGATGTGGCCATCCACTGGGAAAGCACAGACACTAACTGCCCACGTTCAGCCCTGGCCCGGGCTACTCCGTCTAGTGAACACTTGGGGCAGTGGGCAGGAGTCTCCTTGGGCCTCCTGAGATGCTTTCATGCTTGACCGCACCCGCTTCTGACAACTGGCATTGTGGTGCTCATTCTACAGAGGAGGCAGCTGAGGATCCGAGAGGTCGGGTGACTCCCCATGGTCACACGGCGGTGTGGGGCGCAGCGGCATTGGAGGACAGGCTCCCTCTCCCTCCCTTGGACCTCTGGGCACTGGGAAGGAGCGGGTGCCAACCTGGGGGGGCTCAGGGGGTGAAGCAGTGCCCCCCTCTCAGGACCAAAATGGTTCCCGAGCGGGAACCTTGCAGCATGGCGCTCCTAGAAAAACGGCAAACACGCCCAAACGATAAAATAGTTCTTTATTCACTTTGATTCGGATCATTGGAAACGTTCAGCAATAAATAACACACAGAGCAGAGGTCGAGGACGGGGACCGCGGGGAACTTCATTCAAAACGCATCGGGATGAACGCTCAGCCGCAAGGCGGGGGCGCGAGGCAGGGCCGGGGTCGGGGAAGCAAGTTCCAAAACACCAACAGCCAACCAAACAAGATTGCAAAGAAAAAGTGCTCCGGAAACTTTGGCTTTGACGGGACTTCAGGGGAGGCTAAGGCGTCTGGACGCCACATTTGCCCTGCGGGCCGGGGTTCCCGACGCAGGCCTGGGTTGACGCTGGCGTCCGGCTCAGGACCCTGGGCGGGTGGGCCACGCATGGCGGTTCTGGTCTATGACAGAAACTGGGCAACAAGAGTCTGGATCTCCGATGGGCTGGGAGGGACATCAGGAGGGTGCAAGCTGGCAGGCTGCTTGTAGGAAGCTCAATGCTCTTTAGTAAGAAAAAACGTTGCTAACACCCAGTGTCGATCAGATGAGCTCTGCTTATCTCTGCTGTTCCTCCTGAGCCCGCTTCTTTTCCTCAAAAAAAGGTGTCACGTAGCTAGCTCCCCAGGGGTCGGAGGGCTGGTGTCATGACAGATTCAAGGAGAAAGGCTGATATGATCTCCAAACGTAGCCCAGGCCACAGGGGAGGGGGCCCAGCCAGCGGCCTGTGGCATGTTTGCTGCAAACCAGAAGTCCATGATGGATGGACCCACTGAGAGCTCTTTGGAGGGGCGAGGGCACTTGCTGGTTCTTGGTGGCACGTGGCTGGGTCCAGCCCTTTAAGCTGGACAGCGCTCAGGGCTTGGGCTTCCCTGGGAAAGCATTTTCCATCACGACCAGGTGAGGGACAGTGAGCTGAGAGAGGAGGCAGGTAAGGCTCGGAGAGGTTAGGTGACCCTTTTCCATCTTCCGTTTTGTGGCCAGCCTGCCTTGAAGGGAACATCAAAGCGAACATCACAGTTCTAAATGTTCTGACTCTAGTCCACCTTGGACCCAGAGGCCCAGTTCACATCAAGGTAGGATCGGCCTCTCGCTGTCCCTTCCGGCCACAGCAGTGCCTGGGATGCCATCCGGCCCCCAAACCTGCCTTCTCTATCTTCAGTGGCCTCCCCACCTGCCTGTCTGGCAACGCTACTTTATGTCCTGTTTTATTTTCTCTGGTTTCTCCCACTACGCCCAGCCATTGTGGCTCAATGGACAATGCCTGGCGGAGCCAAGGTTTCAAAAAATATAGGAACTTCCTTTTGCTCCCCATTCCCCATCGCTCCTAGAGCCAGAGGCCACGAACCCGGCTCCTTTGTCAGCCAACAGGTGGGTGAGGACAGGAGTCCAGGGGGACGCGGATACAGGTGTTGGTTTTGCTCCTGGCGGCTCCAGCTCCTGGCCTTTGGAGGGTTCCAAAGGCTGGGATGTTTGTTGCTGGGCTCTCTCTCCCTCATCACCCTCGGCCACTTCGCTTCAGGCTCAGCCCTGTTTGCCGCAGGCGGAGCTGCCTCTGCTGCCTGCCTGGGGCCTGACGGGTCTCCAAGGAGTCTGCAGAGTGGACGAGCCCTGGGCTGGAATCCAGGGGCCTGAGTGCAGAACGCAACTGTGTGCGGAGCCTCCCTGCCCATTTTTGGCTCAAAAGGTTTGACTCGTGCTGTTGCCATTGGTTCACTTTTGCAAGTCACTCACTTCTCTGGGCCTTGCTTTCCCCACCCGTGAAACGGGAGAGCCGGATTCTGAGCGCCGAAACACATCTCACAGCGTGCACAGCCGGTGGGACGGAGGGAGGGGTAGGACGGGGGCCAGGCGGCCACCTCGGGCAGCGTGCAGCTCGGCCTCCCTTCAGGGACCTGCTCTGACCCCGTGAAGCCCAGGGGCAGACTGCTCGTTGGGGACCGGACCCTCCTGAACAGACTCGGCTTGCCGGGGAAGGGGAGAGCTCAGGAGTCAGTCCACATCGCTCCCCGCCTCGGTGCGGTGCCCACTTTTCTCAAGGTTTGTCCCTGGCATTCAACATCTCGAGGTTTGTCCCTGGCATTCAACAGCCGGCCACCGGACGCTCCCCCGAGCACTCTCCTCACGTCCGGTGCTGCCATGAGCGCGAGCCTTCCTGGACTGGACCTCACAGCCACGGATGAGCCTTTGTCAGTCGAGAGTCTTAAGGTCTGGAGGATTTTAAAGCTAGAACAGGTTTTGTTTTCTGTTTGTTGATTTTTTTAAAGAAACGCTTTTTGGATGCTGAATCTTCGAGAACCTCAGAGAAGCTCTGGAACCATCCTCCAGGAAAAGGCGCGTATGTACAGACAGAGAAAACAAACATGGTATGCGATTTCTGAGGACTCGGGAATAGCCTGACACCACCTGTGGCCCCCAAGTGCCCTCAGTGACTCTCTCGCCCCATTTTCAGAGGGAGGAACTGTGGCCAGAGAGAATAGGGCTGACCAGTTGGCTGCAGGGAGCAGAGGAGGTAGGTAGCTCCCTGGCTTCTGAGACTGGCATCCTTCACATGCCACCAGGAACCTGTCACCCCCTCAGAGCAGTAGTGGCCTTTTGAGAAATACTTTCAACAGGAAAAGTGGTTTTTCCGATTACATGTCAGTAACTAGCGCCAGCCGTCACTGCCCTCCTCTGCCTGTGACTGCAGTTCCCACCCGTCCCCGAGGAGGCTCTCTGTCCTGGCCTGAGACGGAATCCAAGCTCACAGTGCGAAAGGAGGGAGCTGGCACTGGAAGTGAAGGAGGCACAGAGCAACCCATAAACCCACCGACCTGACACCCCAAGATTTGCCCCCAGTAACACCCCCGCCCTAGGTCCTCCCAGCGCCCAAGTCTGAGGATTCAGACAAAGCTTGCTTTAAGCTCCCCGCTCCCCAGCTGCTGGCAGAGCAAGAACGAGCTTAACTAAAATCAAATCCCAGGACCAGCAACGGAAAGTGCACACGACGTCAGCTAAGCTCAACCAGAATAAATCAATAAATAATCAGGAAGAATGGCGAGCGAGAGTGAGAGGGAGAGGTATGGCTTCTCCCGCGTTCCTAGGACGGCCACACGCCGGGACACCGTGCAGGGGCCAGCAGGGCCTGGGCGCAGCGTGTGGGCCCTCGGGGAGAATGTCGGCTGGCGGAAGTCCTCTGCATGGGCTCGGAAGGACATGGGCACCCACCCCAGCTGTCCGTGACACTCCGCGTCGAATGTGCCTCTGAGAGGCGTTGTGTATTATGCGAGCTTTGCTCCAACTCGGGCGCTGGCTCAGGAAACTAGAAAAGATGTCCCCAGGGGTCCCCTTTCCCGAGTCGGGGCGTTTGCCTCATTTTGGCCAATGCATGCATTTTCTTCCCCAAATACAAAGGCACATGGACTTAGTCAGATCTGCTCTCAGCCGTAATTTGAACCCAAAAGATTGATTGCTCAGGAGAAAGTCGGCTTGAGAAGAAGACCTTGGCTGGAGGCAGGACCACCTTTCCAAGAATGCCGGCCTCCGGGGTGGGGAGCCACTCCTGGCCAGCGCAAACGAGCTTTGGGGAGGGAGGGGAGGTGGGGCTGTCATGCCAGGCATCTTGCAAAGAAAGGTGTCACCCGGCCCCAGGGCTGTGGCCCATGTGGCTCAGTGCTGGTGGCCGCTCTCACTCAGAAGCATCCCGGCAAGACCCAGCGTGGGATCCGCCTGGGACCCTCAGCAGAGGGACGTCTCTGCCCGTCCTCCCTCGGGAAACGTCCTTGCCTTTAGAACACGGGCGTATCTGCTGCCCGCCACGTCCTCCGAAGCCGAAGTGACCTCTGTGTTTGGAGCATGGGCGTCTCCCGAATCTCCCCGCCTTCCCCAGCCCTGGACAGCCACGAGGAGTCTCCCCACCCCCGACGGCCGGGAGACGTGCCCCGCAGCAGGGCCTGGCGACCTTGGTGAGCAGATGCCGTCAAACGTCGTCGGGATGGGAGAGGCTGCGGGAGGCCGCCGAGGCTGGCCCTGGAAGCCCGCGGAACGCAGGGCTCTGGGGGCGGCTGGGGCCGACATGAGAGGCACGCTCTGCAACGCCCGACCTGGACCGCTCGCAGCGTCATCTCCCCTTGAATATCCGGATCTTGTCGATGGACGCCAAGGTGGCCGTCACGTTGGACTCGAAGTCCCCGTCGTGCACCCCGGTCTTGCGGAAAGCCCCCGCCGAGGGGTTGTTCTCCCAGTAGTGGTGCCAATTCCCTTTGCCGTCCGCCCCGAAGCCGTACAGGTCCACCTGCAGGGCGAAGCACAGGTGAGAGGCAGGCGGTGGGGCGGCGGGCGGCGCCTCTGAGGGAGGGGCCCGCAGGCGTCCCCCTGGGTCTGCCGGCCTGTGTCCGAGCTCTGGAAACCCTCCTCTGGGCTCCTGGACCCCCCAGCG